ATCTAGTCGTCTAATCGACTTGAAAGTTTACCAAGACATCCACACGGACGTTACAGAACTTTTGAAACTAACACAGGTCCATTGGTCACTGGAAGCGCTCTCACTTGTTGTTGGGTGTANTAATCGACTTGAAAGTTTACCAAGACATCCACACGGACGTTACAGAACTTTTGAAACGAACACAGGTCCATTGGTCACTGGAAGTGCTCTCACTTGTTGTTGGGTGTCTAGTGGTCCTCTTGGTCATCTTCATTTTCTTCCTTAAGAAACCCTAGGTTCTCCACTTTTTATTTCAGGTACCCTAATTCTCACCTCTATTTCTCACTCCATAGTACAACTTTTATTCTATTTTCAAATCCTAATAACTTACCTCACACCCCTATGTGGAACCCCATAGGTGAGACACCTCAAATTAGCCTCTAACCTATCCAAATATTGAACCAAAGTTGGAGAAAAATAAGATTTTTTAAACATGGCTAGACTTGCAACTTAGATTTTAAACCTCTTAACGACCTACAAACCCAAACTTAACAATAGAAATGGGTTCCTTGGGTCCATTTTAGTCTAGGACCATGTCTTTCCAACATCAAAACACAAAATTTAACCAGGTTTGATTTTCCAAAATCCTTGAAACCCTACATAGGTTTCAAACTTCAAACCACCACCATCGACCACAGGCGCCCTCCAAATCACCTCCAAGCTTCACCTTTAACCCCCAGCAACCAACCCTAAGTCTTAGATTAGGCCAAAGCTCCCTCAATCTTCGAACCCATTTCAAACTCATTAAAAATGCGAAACTTTAAAACTAAAATTCAAGCATAACCACCTAGCCAAATCAAATTCTAATAACACTAATGAACTTCTAGCATCCTAATTGAGCTAGAGGTATACCTTTGATCGTTCAAATAGGCCTCCAAAGAAAATTCAAAAATTCAAGTGAGCTTTCTCTCTCTACACTTCTCTCTTCTCTCCCTCTCCTATCTACTAATTTTATCGTCTCCAGGTGATGGGCAAAAAATCAAGACCTTCCTAAAAGTTGGAGGCTTGGAGAAGAGTGGGGAAGGCCCTGCTGCCGCCAAGCAGCAACTTGGTTATGTCCTAGAAAATTATTCCTCCTCCAATTCGTCCCCGAATCTCATTCCCGCACTTCTGACTCACCAGTACATACTAATCCTACTTTGCCCATTTGTACTTCCTGGCTCATTTCCTCTTCACCAACCAGCTTTCAGCACCTAGCAGACCTCCTAACCATCTCCAGAACATCTATGCACCACTCCAGTCATCAGTTCATAGTTTGAATTCGCAATATTCAAACTCCTAACCACACACGCCCAAATTCTAATCCGTTTTTTAGTCTCTAAACACCGGATTATTACAATCCAAGAGTTCTAGAAAGTGGAGATCATCCAAATCCCTCAAGACAAAAACTTCCATTCCAAAATTCTGGCTTGCCTTGCCTCAACCCTCAAAACTAAAAAAATAAGAAGGATAACCGCCGAGTATCTTCTAGCCTCGAGCATTTTAAGTAATGCGAAAAGCAACTCAGTCAGTGCTGAGGAGATTGTTCTGAGTATGATGGATCCCATCGCCCGATTCTTTACGACCGAGGAGCTACAAAATGCAAGTAGGAAACCCGTAAAATCAGGCACAAGGCACCAAGGTTCTAGGTGTCTCTTGATCAGAAGCACTATCAAAAGTCATTCTTCAGGCCTTATGTCCTCTACGTACTAGAGGATAAGGTCCAGCCTTTGTTGTATGAGATTCACGTAGGCATATGTGGGGGGCTATGCCATAAGGATACTGGTGGTCACACAAGTAGAGAGATTAGAGAGATACACGAGAATATGTTTGTAGATGTGATATATGTCAAAGGTATGCACCCATCATCAGATAGCCCGCCGGGCANACCTCAAATTAGCCTCTAACCTATCCAAATATTGAACCAAAGTTGGAGAAAAATAAGATTTTTTAAACATGGCTAGACTTGCAACTTAGATTTTAAACCTCTTAACGACCTACAAACCCAAACTTAACAATAGAAATGGGTTCCTTGGGTCCATTTTAGTCTAGGACCATGTCTTTCCAACATCAAAACACAAAATTTAACCAGGTTTGATTTTCCAAAATCCTTGAAACCCTACATAGGTTTCAAACTTCAAACCACCACCATCGACCACAGGCGCCCTCCAAATCACCTCCAAGCTTCACCTTTAACCCCCAGCAACCAACCCTAAGTCTTAGATTAGGCCAAAGCTCCCTCAATCTTCGAACCCATTTCAAACTCATTAAAAATGCGAAACTTTAAAACTAAAATTCAAGCATAACCACCTAGCCAAATCAAATTCTAATAACACTAATGAACTTCTAGCATCCTAATTGAGCTAGAGGTATACCTTTGATCGTTCAAATAGGCCTCCAAAGAAAATTCAAAAATTCAAGTGAGCTTTCTCTCTCTACACTTCTCTCTTCTCTCCCTCTCCTATCTACTAATTTTATCGTCTCCAGGTGATGGGCAAAAAATCAAGACCTTCCTAAAAGTTGGAGGCTTGGAGAAGAGTGGGGAAGGCCCTGCTGCCGCCAAGCAGCAACTTGGTTATGTCCTAGAAAATTATTCCTCCTCCAATTCGTCCCCGAATCTCATTCCCGCACTTCTGACTCACCAGTACATACTAATCCTACTTTGCCCATTTGTACTTCCTGGCTCATTTCCTCTTCACCAACCAGCTTTCAGCACCTAGCAGACCTCCTAACCATCTCCAGAACATCTATGCACCACTCCAGTCATCAGTTCATAGTTTGAATTCGCAATATTCAAACTCCTAACCACACACGCCCAAATTCTAATCCGTTTTTTAGTCTCCAAACACCGGATTATTACAATCCAAGAGTTCTAGAAAGTGGAGATCATCCAAATCCCTCAAGACAAAAACTTCCATTCCAAAATTCTGGCTTGCCTTGCCTCAACCCTCAAAACTAAAAAAATAAGAAGGATAACCGCCGAGTATCTTCTAGCCTCGAGCATTTTAAGTAATGCGAAAAGCAACTCAGTCAGTGCTGAGGAGATTTTTCTGAGTATGATGGATCCCATCGCCCGATTCTTTACGACCGAGGAGCTACAAAATGCAAGTAGGAAACTCGTAAAATCAGGCACAAGGCACCAAGGTTCTAGGTGTCTCTTGATCAGAAGCACTATCAAAAGTCATTCTTCAGGCCTTATTTCCTCTGCGTACTAGAGGATAAGGTCCAGCCTTTGTTGTATGAGATTCACGTAGGCATATGTGGGGGGCTATGTCATAAGGATACTGGTGGTCGCACAAGTAGAGAGATTAGAGAGATACACGAGAATATGTTTGTAGATGTGATATATGTCAAAGGTATGCACCCATCATTAGATAGCCCGCCGGGCTTCTAATTCCGCTGACGAGCTCTTGGTCATTCATCTATTGGGGGTTTGATATAGTTGGCCCCTTGCCCAAAGCACCAACTAATAAGAAGTTCCTCCTCATTGATACGATCACTTCACAAAGTGGTTAGAATTCAAACCTCTCATGCACATTATGGACATTGACACCAAAAAAATCGTGTGTAAAAGCAACGTGACACGGTTCTATGCTCCTCGAGCCATAATCTCAAGCAATGGGAACCTAGTTCAATAATAAACCCTTTAAAGCTTTCTGTGAGAATTTGAGCATCAAAAATTACTATTCCACCCCTATTTACCAGTTATGCATTGGACAAGCTGAAGCATCCAACAAGACAATAGTCGCATGAATCAAGAAAAGATTGAAAAAAATGATGGGGAAGTGGACCAAGGAGTTACTTAATATCTTGTGGGCATATCAGGACAACTCCTCGGTCAGCTGACTATAAGGACCCAAGCATTCGACATAATGATGAATGATCAACAAATTAGTAGTGATCTCAACCTCACTGAGGGAAGAAGGGAGGTGAAAGTCGTACGGCTTGCAAGGTATGAAAGGAGATCATCAGGCATCACATTAAGAAGGTTTGTCCATAGAACTTCCAAGTTGGCGACCTGGTACTTAGGAAGGTGGTCAAGAATACCCAAGTACCGACCAACAACAAGCTCAGGTCCAACTAGAAAGGTCCCTATCGGATCATAGCAATCGACAGCTCCGGATCATATATGTTGGAAGATTTGGATGGAAATATTGTACCTAGACCCTAGAATGTAACGAACCTTAAGAAATATTATTATTGAAATATTTATGTTTTTTTGGTATTGATGTTTCTTAACAAGGTTATGTAATAAAACCCAAACAATAATTCTAGGACATTGAATCTGGAATGAGGTTTCTTGAAAATTATCGAACCTACTAGAAATATTGCACTTAAGGGGTTAGTTCCTGAAGGAAGGCAAAAAAAAATGATAATGTAAATGTAAACATAGAAAACTATAAAGTAATGCATGTCGTTCAGAGGGCTTTGTGTCCCTCAAGCAAAACAAAAGGAAGGCGTGAAGAACCCTGAACATAAAAGGAAAAAACTTCATCATCATCAAGCCACTGGGTCATCCTCAAGAAGAGTGTTGATGTCGATTGAAAGGTTGTCAACCTCGGGAGTAGGGAATTGGCATGGTGAAATGTAGGAGGATCCAAAGAAAGATCATCCATCTTTGCCATCTCAGATAAAGGATTGTATTTGTGTTACTAGAACAAATGAGAGTTGGAGGGAACCACCACAGCCTAAAGGGATGAGTCCCAACATTCTTTGAAAGTCTTCCCTTTGAGCTCATCAAAGAACGACACTATATCCTCTTCGCATTCCTTGATGATCTCCTAATCCCTTTTGGACCTTCCCTCCGCTTCGACCCTTAACTTATCGACCAGCTCAGTAAAACAAGTACAGTTTGTCTCGACCTTGGTAAGCTTAGCCTCGACAACAGACACCTTGAGCTTAGCCTCTGCAGCAAACACCTTGAGCTTTGCCTTAGACATTTTTTTTTCTACATGGCTAGCCTGTTCCTTGTTCTTGTCTACTTAACCCGAAAGCTCCATATTCTCTTGGAGGATTTGGGTGATCTGTTGGGCCTGGGTAGTGAGGGTTTGGTCGGAGAGATGACCTCTTCCTTTAACTGGTTGCGTTCTTTCTTGGCCTTCTTTCTTGCTAGGTAATAGGCCTAGAACTGATCGATGATGATCGACATTTGCTGAATTGACTAGGAAAAAATAAAAAAAATAGAAAAATGACATAGAAAAATAGATGAAAAAGAACAAGACACTCATCACCAGCGAGTTCAGAATCACGCTATATATTAGCCCATTATCAGAGCGGTCTTGGTGTTGTTCAATGTCAGCGTTGAAGAACAAGATGCCACTGACAGCATAAGAAATGTCCAACGAGCCAAGAATAGAGTCAGAAGTCATCATTATTTTACCCTTCTATGTGATTGCCCGAGGATGCCATTCCCGACCCGATTGAGGAATGAGATGCTGGTGGGTTGTAGGGCAAACTTAAAGTCAAATTTGAGACTGAGGAAAAGCAATCCCAGTCGCTGAGTCATGATGACTCTTCACTCTCCTATCTTGTTAAACATCACCCCAAAAGGTGAACAATCCCCTGATCCCAAGTTAAGGGCACATGTGGAGTTAGGGGGAGTCTTAGATGAATCACCCCTTATGGGGGCATCCTCGGTGTCCCGAATGGCGGCAGATTTGATGAGTCGCTGGGATCCAAGCGTTGGCAACCGAAACAACCTAAATACCACTTAGTGAAATACATCATTGGCGAAACATGGCTTCTTCTAGGGCGTCTGATTCTTCGAAAGTTTGGAGAATGTGAAAATTGGGTCACACGTCTCGACCAGAAGTGCTTGGTTCAAAATCAAGTTCGATGACTCCTCGAGGCCTCTGCATTTTTTCCTTGGTGGCTTAGTCAGGGTCTTGTTCTAAATTCTCCTCGGTATCGACACCCCACTTTGTCGGTTAAATTTTTTAAGATTCTAACAGAATTTCTTGTAGCTGGGGGTATACCTCTAAAATACGTGTCTTGCTCAATCGAGACCATTAGATCTTGAGAAGACCTAGATCTTAATGATGGCATCGAAGTTAATATTACATTGAGGGGGTTGTGCAACTTCGATTTCATCAATTTCTGCACAAAAATGAAGAGTGAGCCATGAAATAAGCACAAGTATAAAGGCAAACTCGATGACAATCATAAATTTAAAACAAAGTTACCTATAGCTCTCTATTGTTTGGGACACCACAAGCCAGCATACTCGGGCCTGTCTCTACGCTCCCACAGTCCCCCGACTATCACTAAATCTTGCAAATATCCTTTGTTGGAGTCAGATAGATGAGTGATGAGGTACATGGAAGGGTCCCGGGGCTTGAGATAGTATTTCTTGAAGGGCTCTTTGACGAGGGTATAGCAAAAAAGGACCCCATCTAAGCCGAGGTTGATTCGGAACTGAGCGTTCGCCGTTATGACTCCCATGATGATTCTAAAGGTGTTAAGATAACACTGTCTGGGAAATAGCCATAAATGCATCAAGAAGCAGAGAAGAAGAGGGTGAAGAGGGAATCTAATTCCCCCTTCCATGATGGCCTTTGTATAGAAGGGCATTGATTCAACCAAGCCCATAGAAAAACTGTGCATGAGGGCGTTAAATTATGCCATAGTAACATCAAAGGGGATCAAATAATTAGCCTTGAATTTGGCTATCTGCCAAGCCCCTTTCACCTAATATTTTCTCGGCCTAGATTCTCGAGGTCTATTGTCACCAAGGGTGGCAGTTCTACGGATCCTAGCTATAGAGGGCTCTAATAGTGAAAGACACGGAGGGAAACGAAGACCAAAAAAAACAAGAAGAAGGGAGAATTACATTCAGACCCCTTAAGGTTTGTACGTGTGTAATACTTAGACCCCTGATGTAAATATATTTGTTATTAAATTATACTTAAACCCCTCTAATGTTTGTAAGTATATAATACTTAGACCCTTTAAGTTTAAACAATTACCATTAGACAAAAAAAACTCCAATCAAAGATAGAATATTAATTTTTTAAAATTTTATAATCAAAATTCATGTTCTATTATATTATTTATTGAAATAAAATTAAAATTAAAAATTTAATTTTTTCTTAAAAATCGTAATTAGTATACAATTATACTATCTATTGGAACAAAACTAAAAAATCAAACAAGGGATCTAAGTCATTCATAATAGAACATGCATTTTATAACCAAATTCATGTTCTATTTTTTCATTTATTGAAATAAAATTAAAAATAAAAATCTAAGTTTTANAATATTAATTTTTTAAAATTTTATAATCAAAATTCATGTTCTATTATATTATTTATTGAAATAAAATTAAAATTAAAAATTTAATTTTTTTCTTAAAAATCGTAATTAGTATACAATTATACTATCTATTGGAACAAAACTAAAAAATCAAACAAGGGATTTAAGTCATTCATAAAAGAACATGCATTTTATAACCAAATTCATGTTCTATTTTGTCATTTATTGAAATAAAATTAAAAATAAAAATCTAAGTTTTTTTAAAAAAAGNAGATAACACTGTCTGGGAAATAGCCATAAATGCATCAAGAAGCAGAGAAGAAGAGGGAATCTAATTCCCCCTTCCATGATGGCCTTTGTATAAAAGGGCATTGATTTAACCAAGCCCATAGAAAAACTGTGCATGAGGGCGTTAAATTATGCCATAGTAACACCAAAGGGGATCAAATAATTAGCCTTGAATTTGGCTATCTGCCAAGCCCCTTTCACCTAATATTTTCTCGGCCTAGATTCTCGAGGTCTATTGTCACCAAGGGTGGCAGTTCTACGGATCCTAGCTATAGAGGGCTCTAATAGTGAAAGACACGGAGGGAAACGAAGACCAAAAAAAAAAAAAAGAAGGGAGAATTACATTCAGACCCCTTAAGGTTTGTACGTGTGTAATACTTAGACCCCTGATGTAAATATATTTGTTATTAAATTATACTTAAACCCCTCTAATGTTTGTAAGTATATAATACTTAGACCCTTTAAGTTTAAACAATTACCATTAGACAAAAAAAACTCCAATCAAAGATAGAATATTAATTTTTTAAAATTTTATAATCAAAATTCATGTTCTATTATATTATTTATTGAAATAAAATTAAAATTAAAAATTTAATTTTTTTCTTAAAAATCGTAATTAGTATACAATTATACTATCTATTGGAACAAAACTAAAAAATCAAACAAGGGATTTAAGTCATTCATAAAAGAACATGCATTTTATAACCAAATTCATGTTCTATTTTTTCATTTATTGAAATAAAATTAAAAATAAAAATCTAAGTTTTAAAAAAAAAATTATAGTTAGTATATAATTATACTATCTATTAGAATAAAACTAAAAAACAATAAACAAGGGGTCAAACTGTAAAAAACATAATATATTTTAGCTTTAGTTAGGGTAGTTTGATATTTTAATTTTGTCATTTAAACAACCACATTAAATTTCAATAGACAATTTGTATACTAATTACGATTTTATAAGAAAAAATTGAATTTTTATTCTGATTTTATTTCAATAAATGATACAATAGAACATGAATTTTAATTGTAAAATATAAAATATTTGATATTTTATCTTTGATTGAAGTATTTATGGTCTAAGTATAATATTTTAAACTTAAGGGGTCTAAATATTATATACCTACAAACTTCAAAGGGGTTTAAGTATAATTTATTAACAAATATATTTACATCAAGGGTCTAAGTGTTACGTGCGTACAAACCTCAAGGGGTTTGTGTGTAATATTTCAAATGTCAGGAGGTTTGAGTGATTAAGTGACAAATCTCAGGGGGTCTGAGTGTAATTCTCCTAAAAAAAAAAGAGAACAAAAAGGGAAAATGCTTCAAATTTAAAGATAGTGAGGATAACTTATAGGTTCACTGGCGACGACTTATGGCCTATTCGAAGGTCTCAAAACATCAAAATATTGAACGATGGGGTATCTTTACGAGGGAGAAAAAGGTATGGTTGCGCATGAGAACGCAAAGGGGCTTAAGGTCACGAGTTTTGAAAGTTTGAATAAAGAGAAGCCAGTAAGAGAGAGCCTCTTTATAAAGGGAAAAAGATATGATTACGCACAGAACACGAAGAGGTGCCATTAAATGCATAATTCAAAATCAATGGTGGGAATACGACACGATGGTTCCCAAAAAATTGTCAAAAGGAAGCCTTTTATATTCGCATGACGCGTGCCCACTTCCATACAAAAACCGAAGGCTAGGGGCATTTGACGAGACGGGGTCTATCAAACCAATCAAGGGCAAACACATGGCGTTTTTTTGTCGACAACCGTAGAAGTAATGATAACTTAAGCCATGGCGCGATGTGAGGCTCACTTGGCCTCTGAGGATGATATCGAGAGATGGAGTCTTTCTTGGTGTCATTGTGAAACCCAACGGGGGTTAGAACTTTTTCGGCATTATCGTCAACACCGACATAGAATTTGTCTCATCTAAACCAAAGAACGTCAACACCGAGAGGGCTAGGGCATCGGCACGAATGAGGCTGAGGGATTTAGGAATAATTGACCATACATGCTGACCATGTCAATTAGTNTTGTAAAATATAAAATATTTGATATTTTATCTTTGATTGAAGTATTTATGGTCTAAGTATAATATTTTAAACTTAAGGGGTCTAAATATTATATACCTACAAACTTCAAAGGGGTTTAAGTATAATTTATTAACAAATATATTTACATCAAGGGTCTAAGTGTTACGTGCGTACAAACCNAGGGGTCAAACTGTAAAAAACATAATATATTTTAGCTTTAGTTGGGGTAGTTTGATATTTTAATTTTGTCATTTAAACAACCACATTAAATTTCAATAGACAATTTGTATACTAATTACGATTTTATAAGAAAAAATTAAATTTTTATTCTGATTTTATTTTAATAAATGATACAATAGAACATGAATTTTAATTGTAAAATATAAAATATTTGATATTTTATCTTTGATTGAAGTATTTATGGTCTAAGTATAATATTTTAAACTTAAGGGGTCTAAATATTATATACCTACAAACTTCAAAGGGGTTTAAGTATAATTTATTAGCAAATATATTTACATCAAGAGTCTAAGTGTTACGTGCGTACAAACCTCAAGGGGTTTGTGTGTAATATTTCAAATGTCAGGAGGTTTGAGTGATTAAGTGACAAATCTCAGGGGGTCTGAGTGTAATTCTCCTAAAAAAAAAAGAGAACAAAAAGGGAAAATGCTTCAAATTTAAAGATAGTGAGGATAACTTATAGGTTCACTGGCGACGACTTATGGCCTATTCGAAGGTCTCAAAACATCAAAATATTGAACGATGGGGTATCTTTACGAGGGAGAAAAAGGTATGGTTGCGCATGAGAACGCAAAGGGGCTTAAGGTCACGAGTTTTGAAAGTTTGAATAAAGAGAAGCCAGTAAGAGAGAGCCTCTTTATAAAGGGAAAAAGATATGATTACGCACAGAACACGAAGAAGTGCCATTAAATGCATAATTCAAAATCAATGGTGGGAATACGACACGATGGTTCCCAAAAAATTGTCAAAAGGAAGCCTTTTATATTCGCATGACGCGTGCCCACTTCCATACAAAAACCGAAGGCTAGGGGCATTTGACGAGACGGGGTCTATCAAACCAATCAAGGGCAAACACATGGCGTTTTTTTGTCGACAACCGTAGAAGTAATGATAACTTAAGCCATGGCGC